AGCATTCTTCCAGATTCCAGGGACTTAAGAATAGGCTCCACTTGCTGGGAATTGCAAGAACATTCCAGATGCCAAAAGCTAGAAAGGTACGATATTCCCCTTGTTACTATTTTACCCCACACCCTCTTGGTGAACGGAGGTGTGGCCATCCTTCACTCCCACCCACCTTCTAGGCTAGGAGGAATTCTATCCCAGTCTGTGTGCTCCAATGGAGCTTCGGTGCCCTGCCCCACCCTGCCCCGATTTTTTTTTCCTTTTTTATGTTTGTTTCTGTCTGTTTTAAAACTACTACTATCATTATTATTTTTGTCCTTTTTATTATTATTCTTTATTCTTCCCTTCCCAAGTTCTGGTTTTCAGAGTTTTCTCTTTTCCCTTTTCCTGGTTCTAATTTTTTTTCTTTCTCGTAGTTAACCCCATTCCTTGTTTTCTTTTTGCGTTTTTCCCATTTTTTTTCTTCATTATTCTGCTTTCTACCTTTTATGTCTTATTGCCCTCTTCCCATATATTGTGGTGTTTGGTTTTTTTATTTTCACTTTTTTTGGTTATTATTCCTGTATGATTACATGGTGAGTTTTTTTGTCCATTTGCTTTTACTTTTTTGATGCTTATTCAATTTGTTTTTTTTTGTCTAACTGGGAGATAGCCACAGTCCCCATACAACACAACTACACACACACCTACTGCAGCTTTGCTTACTGAGTGAGAGCCACCACTTCCTTCTCCATCAACAGGCCAACAATAAACAACCACCAAGAAGATCCTGACTCACCCTTAGTTGCTCTTCACAAACAGTTAACAGAGATCTAAATACAACAACATCACAATGTCTCAGAGACAACAGATCATCACAGTCCACACGGAAAAGCAAAATAAAGTGGTAGAAAAAAGGGACGAGGATACAGACCCACAACACATCCCTGAGAAAGAAGCAGCACTGGAACTCCTTGATCAGGAATTCAAAAGAATTATATTTAGGTATCTTCAAAGGATTAAGACAGATTAAGGAAAACATAGACAAAACTCGCGAAGAATTTTGGAAGAAAATACAAGAACAAAATGACAAGTGAAAAATCAGAAATGAGTCTAACTCTACAGGTAGAAATCCAGATTATTACATTTAATTTTTAGATGGTCCCATTCATCTATTTTATCTTCTGCTGTTGTGCATTTTGGATTGTGCTTGGTAGTCTATTTATGCCCTCCAGCCACTCATCAGAAGGAAGAATAGACAATCTACTTACATAGAGATACCACCTCAGAAACCCAAGGGCAGGTTGCTATGTGTCAGATCGACTCGATGGCAGATCTTGTTTCATTTTTCTGCAAATGGATATTCAGTTTTGTCAGCACCATTTGTTAAACAGATAATCTCTTCCCCATTTAATGGATTTTGGCCCTTTGTCAAAGAACAGCTGGCCATAGATCGATGGATCTATTTCTGGATTCTCAATTCTATTCCATTGGTCTGTGTGTCTGTAATTGTACCAATACTAAGCTGTTTGACTACTGTGGCTGTATAGTTGGTTTTGAGATCCAGGAGTGTGAAACCTACTTTGTTCTTCTGCTTCAACAGTGTTTTTCTTATCTGAGGTCTCTTTCCTTTCCATATAAAGTTGTTGTTGTTATGTGCTGTCGAGTCGGCCCCGACTCATAGCGACCCCTCCTTGGGTTTCTGAGAA